GAGAGACTGACTGGAAGGAATGCTAGGATATGCTGGAGTTGGGATTTTTTTCCCCAAAGCCGTTTCCCTGCACACAAACTATAGAAAGTCACTATTACGCAGCCCCTTTCACGCTTCTCAACAGTTGTCCAATGCAATATACGCTCCTATAGTGTCGATTCAGTGATTTCGCAACCCTCTCTCGTCAAATCTGACTGCCTCAGCATCTTCCATTCCAAGTTATTTTCCAGCTACAAAACTGCTCATTTCCTGATTTTGAGGAGCTGAAACACAACAGACTATTCCCGCAAGTCGCAACGCAACAGCTGCAGTTTATTACAGAAATTAGCCAAAGAGAAAACGTTTTTTCTTTTTACTGCTGCGCACTCACTCCATCTGAAGTCTTCGGAATCAAAAACACATTCTTTCGTGAAAGCTTGAGAAATCGGAGCCACAAAGAGCAGGCTCCAAATGCACAGCCCCAGACATTCGCACGACTACTGCGCAAAACCAACACGGTGGTCCTCGCTGTTTTGCCCCTTTCTTGTTGTTTCGCAATAAACGGAAAATTTGAAGTTTCGATTCACCGCCATCAGCAGCAGCGAAACAGTTTTCCCTTTTCCTTTGCGCTGGCCAAGTGGCCCAGACTGCCGGCGTCAGCGCTCCAAACTCTCTCTCGCACACATACACTCTTACACAGAGACGCGCACTTCGAAAACTTTTCCAACTTCGACTCCATCGGCCTCGATTGTCTGCGGGGTGGTTCGTACCGTGAAAGAAGTGTAAAAGAACTCACCTCGCTGCAATAAAATAATCTTCAAACCTACGGGACTGCGCGTTTTTTTATTCCCAGGGTCGGGTCTTGCGTTGTCTGCTGGCGAGGCGCTACGCGTACTGGAAGACTCCGCCATGTCAATCAAAACGCGACACACATGGAATTCAGATCCCGCCTCCTTTTACCGTAAAGCACAAGGGCGCATTAAAAAAAAAGCCAAACCAGAGAGACGAGCTGCTCCCCCATCTTTGTGACAGACGCAACTCAGATGGCTTGCTGAAGTTCATTTATGAAGAGCATTTCTGTCTAATTACTGACCGGTTTATTTTTCATTAGCCTAATATTGATATGGATAAAATATTTTAAACTGTTTGGTCTCTGTCATACAGTCATTCTGAGAGGGGCTTAACCATCTGAACAAAGATTTGGACCTGTTTATTCTACACATTTGTGTTGTATAGCCTGTAACGTTTTATTGTGTTGCTGGTCAGCAGTTATTAGGGTGCAAATAAATATATGTAGGGTCCTAAGAATTTCTTTGTTAAAAGGTTTAATGTCAACCCAAAAAGGTGGGTGGACTCGTCTGCAAATAAAAGTAAGCTGAATCCAGTTGGGGCTGGTTCGCATGTATCTCTCAGGATGACACAGAACACCTCCAGAATGTAGAGTAGCAAATGGCCTGCACTGGTCACGTACACAAAATGAACAATACATTTTAATATTACAGAAAATAATTCTAGTGCAGTAGTTTACAGTAGACATAATATATGCAAACAAAAGTCTGCCTATAGAAGATTTTAAGTGTCAGGTGTATCAAAGCTCTGTAGCAGTCTTTCCAAAACAACTTAGACAACAGGCCAAAGTCCCTTTGGTGGCTGCACTGAAACCATGCATCGCTCAGCTGGCAGGTCCAAGGGTTACAGGTGCAACACTGGTGCTTAAAGCATCATGAATAAAGATCAAAATCTGTGAAATCAGAGGTACATTTGTTTTAGAATTGTTTTGACAGGACAACAAGGCTTCATGTGTGCTGTTCAGGACCAGAAATACTCCAAATACTAGATGGTGCCTTGTAACCATATATGGATTCAGTTTACTACCTCTGGGTGCATTTTAGCACAGTTTTATTTATTTATTTATTGAGTAGTTTTTGGCCATGTTGGTTCTTGAAATTAAGTCATTAATAGTTACAAGTAAATATCAGGATTACATCATTAAACATGCAGCTAAACGCATAATTTTAATAGTTTCATTACAAAGTCACATAAAGCATTTAATGGAAGGACCATTTGCTTTTCTACTGCATGGAAAAACTAAAATGGGAATAAAAAATAGAGGCCAGATGCTATGTAATTTAGATATATTCAACTTCTAGTACAGGTTTTTGCACTTAATAACAGACTGAATGCAGAATTCTGATGAGTAGCGATGGCAAGTTGACTTCTGCTCAGGAGAAAACAGTGTTAAAGTGTGTGTGTTCACTACACAACCAGCCCCTCATTAGACTCACTGAAGCCCCAGAACTGAATTTCTCACATTTTCAAACCTTTATTTATTAACGGTTGGTCCACTGAGAGGCCACCTCTCTCTTTTACAGACACCCTATACAGTCACATCTGGAAGTTGCACAGTACACTGAACAGCTCCACTGAGAAGACTGGGGTTAAAGGACCTTGCTCAAAGGTACCACAGTGGCATTAATGAGGGTGGGGCAAGCACTGCCTTTGTCACCTGTCCCACCCAGATAGGATCCCACCAGTGTTGGGATTGAATTGTCAACCTTCTGGTCACTCAAGCTTGCTTCTTTAACATTTAGACAACAACTGCCCCACAGACTTTAGGCCCCAGATAGAAAAGTTAAAAGCATCTTTCCTTAGACGTGACAAAATGGTTTGTTTAGTTACTGTTTTTGTCAGGTCACTGTTTGAACCACATGATAAAACACATGCAAACAACAAAAACTAACAATGGGATTTCCACCAGGTAACTATGTATTTGTCTCCAACAGTCATCAACCTCTTTCCTTGCTGTATTTCCAGGAAAGCAGACTTAGCCAAATACACTCATTGCCTCTGAGCACTAGATCTGTCTCTGCTGGAACACACACTCACACACATTCCAGCAACTGCGCTAAGAAAACACCCACTGGTGTAATTCTAAGCCAGGAAAAAAGGGGACAGTATGCTGTGTCTGTAGCTCAATTCAGTTCAGTTCAGTTCAGTAAACATTGATCATCCTCAGAAGACAATTAACATATAGCAGGCAGAAAAATTCTGCTCTCTTTTGTGCCTACAGCTCCAGTTATAAACAATGAGTGCAGAGAGACTGTGGAGCCCCCTAACTGCAGAAATAGTGTATTAGAGCAGTGAAACAAACTGTATTCATTAACTGTTCACAAGATAATTCTTTACTCTGCCCTCTTCTTTGTTTAAAAATGTAATATCTTTCACAGTATGTTCAGCACAGATATGTAAACTGCATAAACATTTATGCCGTTAACATGCCATTTTTGGCTAATCCAGTGAATAAAATATCTAATGAGTCAAGACACTTCATCTCATTGATACAAAAATTCAATACGGTCCATAAAGAAGTCCTGCTTACTGATTTGTAACATTGCCCTCATTAGCCTGGTACAACTGGACATATTAAAGGGATCACTACTACAGTATTATATAGGAATATTCATACCAGTTTGCCACCTTTGTGCCTGAGAAAAATGCAAAATGAAGCTTGGATTTGTCACTGAACCAAGTGCCCAGAGCTGCTTTCCTTAATTTTGACTGCCAGGGAGATGTTGGCTTAGCTTTAAGGGAATGTTTTTACTATTTCACTGTTTCCTTCATTTATTGCCACACAAACAGTTTTGTCAATATTGGCTAGACACTTTATTATTTTGCATCCCTCAGACCACACTGTTGTATTTTTAAAACATTAACTACTAACCACTTTATTTTGTCTTTCATTTCTGCCCTTAATAAATGCAAAATATAAGTATTATCACATACACATGCACAAATTTCACACTAAACCTTTGAATAGTATTCAGAATGATATTGTGAAATACACAGTTTAAGCCTGTGACATGATTAGTGCAGTTTACTGTATTGTGAAATATTACAAATAAACCTTGTAAAAGTCTGACAACACTTCTGTTGCCATAAACCAGGCTTGTACATATTAATGTAGGACACAGACAGAAGTATAAAGACCTGTCAATAAAGATAGTTATTACAGCAAGGAAATATTTAAATGTTTATATTTGATGAAAGCTATGTATAAGCAAATACATACCTTGTGTGCGAAAATGTTATTCATAGACAAAGAAACCTACTACAGTTTGTCCCAGTATTTGAATTAGAGTTGGGATTGTTTGTCATCAGTGTTGCTTTACAGCTGTTTACAGGCCATTGAATAGATTTTTAAACAGACTGCGCCGTGCACAATACAATAATAAGAGTTGGCAACTCATCTCGGCCTCATCTCAAGGTCCATTTAGTAGCTGCTTTTGAACTTGTGATCACATCACACGATCTTCATCAGCAAATTGAAATCAACTAGTTGTCATGGAAATGTGGCTATTCAATCCAAAGTTCAATTTTCAGTTTTTCTGAACTGAACTAAAATTTGTGTTCACTTAAGACATTAAATGATAAGTTAACAAGTGACATATTCAAGGTAAATCAGCAAGGTACCTCATTATTGAATGCACTACCTAACTAAATCTCTGTTTATGTTTTTGTCCTTTATGTGATGTATTAATCACAAAGGAGTAGATGTAGCTAAAGAAAATCAGATGAGTTAGGGAAGGGCTTAGGAACAGTTCGACAAGTAAGAAGTGAATTGTGCAACAGGGCTGTAACTCAGCATCAGAAAGATGTTTCCACGATTTTGCACAGTGGAAACAGCGTGCATTAGGGAGTCATATACTTATCAGTGTGTAAATTTGAAATGCACTTCTGATTTCAATATGTTAACAAAGCAAAAGTGGGGTAACCTTCAGTGACATACTGGACCTTTCACAGACAACTAGTCACATTAGATTAGTTTGGCAAGAAGAGAGTGGATGAGGAAAGACTGGAGGGAGCAGATCTTGGAACTGCAATGCAGCTATTTCCCCTGTATGTGAGGACCAGGCTTTCACAACCACCAGATGTTTACCACCAACCCAGCTGCTTTGCTCCCCTTCTTTCTCCCTGTCGCACCCTTTCAGATTTTCTCTCTCTTAGGCTTTCTACAGCAAGCCCTCCCTGTAATAACGCACACTCAGTTCACCAGAGGTCTTTGAATTAAGTGGAATGTGTCCAGCCATATGACAGCATGTACTCTATACTCTTATAGCAGAGAGAAAGCGGGAAAAGGCGCTGTTGGATTGCCGCCAGCTCTTCAGTGTGGGTTTTCTAGACGTTAATTATAACCCTTACTCTGCTCTTTTATGCACTCGTGTGTTTATGTATACATTTATGTGTGTATGTTGTGTCTACATAAGTGTGCGTGCCCATATGTTCACTAGAAAGCAGAGTGAATTGGGAGTGTAAGACACCAGGTGACAGATGATAATGGGCGTCTGGCAGCAGAGGAGGGCTGGAATGAACATGATGGTGCGTGTGTGTGTGTGTGTGTGTGTGTGTGTGTAGCTGTGTTTATGCATGTGAGGCACTTCCTACCATAGAAGTAAGGATGGAATTTGGCTCATCTTGAGTTCAAAGGAGTCAACTCAAAGTGTTCTGCACACCAACAAGAGCAGACATGCCTGTCTTTCGCTCTCTCTCTCTTGCTGTCTTTGTCTTTTTTGTCAGGCTCTCTCTACCACCTCCCTTTTTTATTGGAGTTTTGCAAGGCAGCAGTTTGGATCATCAAACACTTTATCTACTTTTGTGGTGTGTGTATATTTGTATGTGCATGCCCTGAACTGTGATGCAATAGATACAGGCTTATATGTGTGTGTGTACACGTGTCTAGACAAATACAGGAAAAGAAGCCAAATCACCTCCTATTACAGTAAAACAAATTATTACTTTATATTACATAATCTGCCTTTCATCTTGTGACATTACATTACATCACTTTGCAATCATCTTTATCTGTGCATGTATGGCGCTACGGTACCCACAGAAGTGAGGATGGAATTTGGCTCATCTTGAGTTCGAAGGAGTCACCTAAAGCTTTCCGCACACCAACAAGAGCAGACAAATTAAGTGACAAATGAGGAAATTACCAAGAACAAATACATTTTTCTTTGTGCATTTATCTGATAACACGGCGCTATGTGCTAGGAAAGAATTTATTTCCGAGCTGAACTATTCTTTGCCTTTCACCATTCCTGTAGTGCCTAGTTTGACTGGACATGACTAAAGTCTGTCCTGACTCTACCTGCTCATAATACAACATAATACAAAATGTCAACCTCATGGCAAAAGAAAAATTCAGGGGCTCCCTAAAGTCAACATAAATCCTCCTCTGAGCATCATGTGTGTGAATTGACGGGACATAGAAACATCCCCAGAGCTGTGCCTCTAAAGTTTATACATAGTGGCTTTAAATATTTGGTATTTTGTTTTCCACATCCCTGGTATGTCTGGAACAAACAGGACAGATGATTCAAAATCCCTCTGTGCCTAAGCATGCCTCTCTTTGATAAGATACGTTGTTTCCAGTTGCTTCCTCTCTCTTTTCAGGACTTTTCTAGGCAAAGCTCATGCTTCTGGTGTCACTGGTATGTCCTTAACCAGGTATGTCTGGAACAAATAGGATGACCCACCTATTTCAGGACCTTTGTTGTTTCTCTCTGCCAAGATAAATTGTTTCCTGTTGTGTCATTGCTACTTTCAGGGGTTTTCCAGTCCACTTATCTACGGTACCTGATTCAGAGGGGATCTGTGTTTGTTCCAAGCCTGCCAATCATGCCATGTGTTCCTACTTACAGAACACCTTCCAGTCATGACACCACATTGTGTGACCTCATGCTCGGGTCACACCACCACCGGGTGGTGGGTGTTGGCAATCTGGCATTGGAATGTCCATGACTAGGAGGTGGGACTGTGAGCCGGTTGGCTAATTGCTTTGCCCCTGACATTTGTGGAAAACAAGCAGAGTGACATCTCTAACAATAACCAGTTGACTCTGACCTTCAATGGGAGACACATTTCTCATGTACAACTCACAGCATGATGGCATGCCAACTATTACACCATTCTCAGGACAATCAATGCATTCAGAACAATAACCTCCAGCAAAAACCCCTGCCTGCAATCACCCAGTGTTTGCTAGGAATTACATCCCTAAAAAAATAAGTAAGAGAAGTTTGAATCTCAGATAGATAGAAGTGAATAACCCAGAACATGCAATGGTCTTGTTCCACAACACTGTGGGTTCAGTTGAGGTCAATTTTGTGACATAAAATTGACAACTAAAAACACAGGGGAGTAAGTTAAACTATTTTCTATGTAGGGGGTTACTTTTTGGCAATATAAGCATGGCTCTATGGATGGAATTCACTGACATATATACAATGAACATGGCGTCACCACTTCCCGCCAGTATTCAAAAATTAAGTCAAAATATTGTGAATATGGTGGCTCCCATCTTGGGTTTTCTTGCAACTAAATTCTGAGCAGTTGCAACCAGTAGTGCAGTGACAGAATCAGACCACCAATCAAAGCTGTCAAACTGAAATACACCTCTTTTTATATCAACAAATAACTTGTCAGAAAAATGCCCACTTGTACACACATCAGCGTGATAATATCTACCAAAAACCACAGAAGTGACCTCTGGGGAAATTTGACCAGATTTGTACTTTGTTTTTAGTTTGGCTCATATCCCATCCGCTATGGAGGATGCAGGATTTATGACCTATACTGTAAACAGCCACCAGGAGGCGATTGAGTCATGGTGGCTTCAATTCAGGGAGCTGTCATGGCCTCCATATTTTCTACAATTGATGATGTAAATGTTTCTAGAATTTGAACAATTAGCCAACTGGATTGCTATGTCTCTTTCTTTAGTGCCATAATTTGATAAAAAACATTTGGTTTATGACCATATACTGGCAAAACCTACAGTAGTATGCACGACTGTGTGGATTAGCAAATTTTAACATGCTATGCCATATGGTGAGGACTGTTGACAAAGATGATGAAGACAGTGGCAACTGCTCCAAAGTAGGAGTAGTAGTATAGAAACCCAGGCAACACCACTGTCATGCTATGGGCAAACCTTAGCACTGAGTAATCCTCAGTCAGCAAATTAAGTGATCCTCAGACATCTTTGGATCACTGGCTGGGCAGCCTGGGAATCTCCTGAATATATCTTCTGCCAAAAGAACAATTAGCAATGTGCCACACTCACCAGAGACTTCCTGTTTTGGCCCATGTTTGTCATGGTAACAGTGACGTCCGACACTGACTCAGTACAACACTTCTTGCATGTTTACCAGTCAGAGGACAAGCTATGTGGGTCTGAGGATCCTAAACAAACATGTCCTTTAAGAGAAAGCAAGCTCCAAACATGTCCTTTACCTCAAACTGCTCCAGTTTTAAATTTATAAATGTGTTTAAAGAACAGCAGATAAAATGTTTTTGAGTTTGAAGTTTTGTTCCATGCTGGTAAAAAATAGAAGTATAGTACAAAAAAAGTAACAAATGCTTCCAGGTAAAAAAGATCAGAAACCCAGACAGAGCACTCAACAGTTTCAAAGGCAGTAAAGTGCACTCTACTGAGCATCAGTGCTGACAAACACATCTACAGTACACAGTGTGTGTGTATACAAGGAGGAAACAACAATGTACATGTGTAAGAGAGAGATCTTACAGGAAGAGAGCAGAAGTACTGTAGGTAACCAAAAAATCTTCACATATAATCAATATTCTTGAAATATTTTTATTTAAACTTAAACTTCAGACAAAGGCAACAAATAAGTGAGCAGGAGAAAAAAAGAAAGCAAGCCATGCCAATAGCATAACCATCAAAATTCGCATCACTACACCTACTCAAGTGTCCTCTGCACAGAAGAAGAAGAAATCAAAATAAAAGTCTTTTCTCTACCTCTCACAGTAGAGATCTAATTTCAAAGCAAAGTCCTGTATGGCTTTCCTCCTTGCCTGAAGCTTCATCTGTGAGCACCAGGACACGTTGCATAGAGTCAGACAGTTATCAACTGGACACGTCTCATCACGGCAACAGTTCCTTTGAAATACTGTCTGGGTGAAAAAGTGAGCGTTGGTGATAACAGCAGTGAAACATCAGTCTCAGAGGTTTCTACACTGGGTTTCCATTTTGTGCTCGTCAGGTGGACGGAGCTTAAAGTCAGTCCTTTGGAGGATTTTTCTCTCTTCTGCTGATGAAATCCACCACGAGTCTATTATATAAACATAGACACATCAAACATAATTTACCCCCCTATCCCGAGCCACACAGTGGCACAAAAATACAAACCATCAAAAATACATCAAAAATCAGAGCCGTTATATCTGGCTCTTATTACTGCTGTCATTATTATAATAATATAGTTTTATACACAGTCAGGCACATTTACAATGGCTATAGAGCAGAAGGGGGACATTTGAGGTCCTTAAGGCCTAGTGCTCTCTCTCCCGTTCTTTCTTTCAATAACAACTATAGTGTTGTGTGTGTGTATAAGTGTGTCTGTGTGTGGTGTTGGTGTAGAGCCAACGTCAGTAATGGAAGGATACACCAGTGAATCTGAGGCCATTGTGGACAAAAGCTGTCCCACTTCTAATTAAAGAGTTATAAGAGTGTGCGCGCACACACACTGACCCCGGCAACACTGTTCTCATGGCAACAATTACAACATACAGTATATACAGCCCGAAGCTGAGGGCTACAGAGCACTCCTAAACACACTCCTCTATGAATGATTTATAAGTTAACAGGCGCTTAGCTGTTACAGTAATGTCAGTGTACACACATGCACCTGGCCCTGTGAGCGCAGCAAGGCAAACAATGAAGTTAAAGGGTCAGTTCACACAAATTAACAACAGATAGAATCTCACTTAGTGTTATCTATCTATACAAATAGTTAGGGTCGTATTTATCCGGGTTTGAAGACGATCTCTGTGATTTTTGCCTCCATCTCAGTACAATGGGGGCACAAAGATTTTCAGCTGTGGAGCTCTAATCATGGAAAAATGACATGCAACCTCTTCTTTTTACTCTGGATAATCCACAAGCCTTCATGTCAGGACTATTTTGCAACAGAAAGTAGCTCAGATGGAAAAAAAAATCAAAGTGCTTTCACTGTAGTGAGATGGAGGCTGAGATCTCAGAGACATGGATGTCAAACCCTGGGAATATAAACTAAAACTTTTTTACATGGCTAGATACCCCTAGAGTACTAGAGCACTGAGAAAGTTTTTTGTTTTAAGTTGGGTGTCCTTGCCCTTTAAAAGGCATTATTATTATTATTATTATTATTAGTGTGTATGGGCATCTGAAAGTTTCATAAACAAATGGTACATGACAGTGATTCCTTAGCAGAAAAAGACAGTTTTGGCATTAGTGACAAGTACAAATCAAAGTAATTAATCAAAAATACTGAACAGAGTCAACAGGTACAGTGGGGTATGATGGGTAATTGCACAAGACTGATAGCAACAACTCACAGTTCTTACATTATTACAAATGTTACAGGTGGAAATGTGGGGGCAACTCTACCAGAGAGTTTGATATGTTTGTCAGCATGCATCATTTTACATACAGTATGTGCATATCTCACCATGACCTGTTGAGACTCACTACAGTCCATGTAGTCAGACACTTTCCCCAGGGTTTAGAAATGACTGCAAAAGGAGTCCAGAGGTGGAGCACTAATAAGGCCACACTAAGAATAGAGCAGCTCAAGCTGCACAGTGAACTGAATTCCCTCTTGGAAAAGCTGGCCAGCCATTATGATGGCATGCAGTAGCACAGACTGGCCACAGAGAGGGGCTGTTACAACCAGCCAAACTGTTACATGATTCTTCCCTGAAGGGGATAGAGGTTTAACTTCCTTTATGAGGAAGACAGTGACAAGCTGCACAGTCAGTAAGTTTCTGATGGCAGCGTCTGTTTGTATTTTGTATAACCGAGCAGCTGAGTGTTGTGGCTGTGTGTTCTGAATGGCACTGCTGTGTCACTTTCATTTTCTGTTTCTGTCTCCCTGTTTCACCAGTTTGGAGTCGATTTATGTAAAGGGCAGTCTTCCTGTCTGTTTTTAGCACAGCAGCATTAGAAATTGCATGCGATTGTCTTCTGGCAGGATTGTCGGTGAGAATTCACAATAGCAATTACATTATTTTACAGTGATGTTATTTTTCTCTATTCTTTCCAGAGCTTATCTGGCACTTCTCCCTCCATTGTTGCCTTAGTTCTCTCAGATGAAGACAAATGCTGGAGGCAGTGACACTGTTATCTGTATGAATACAGAGGCATTATTGCGCCAGACACAGAACAGTACTGGTTTACATCTACCCACACAAAAACCGTTGAGTCCATTCTGAGGAGACTTCACAGTCATTGTTAAGGAAGAAGCCAGAATCCCTTTCTCTCTTTCTGTATTTACATCCATGTATTTGCTGATGCATCCATCTCAAAGGACCCTCAATTACAGTACATGCTTTACATCTGTTTTCCAGGAAGAGAGGCCCAGGAATTCCATGAAACGGTTATGCTGAAAGATCAGATATAACCAGTTTATCCATTTTATTCCCAATCTCTCCAGGGACTTGAAGTTCCTCAGATTCATAGTCATCATCAAATGAACTGGGAACAAACAGACACAGTTGAACCAGTTAAATGTTGCTGCATACACTTTTTTAAATTTTCTCACAATAAAGCTAATATTCACTTACTAAAATTAGTGTCGCATGGGAATCTGCCTATAACTCAGCTTACCAAGAAAACCGATTACAATTCTATACCTAAAAAAACACAGTCTGCATGTGTGAGTGTGTGTCCTACCCCTCGTGTAGCTGTTCATTTGCAGTCTCCTCTGCCACCAGTATCTCATATTCCTCTGAGGCATATTTATCCCAGTCAGATGGCTCTGGACCTTCACTATCAATGTCCTGCAACATTACACGTGCACCACAAACATCAGCGTTTTGCTGGTGACAACATACAAAAGTAAGAGAATTTTCTATTGCTGTACAAAACAAAAGGAATAAAACAGTAAGAATGTAGCTTTAAATCTATCAAAATGCATCAAATCTGGAAGTGAGGAGGAGGAGAATCATACTTCTGGGTACCAAAAACCAGTATCCTATTGTTCTACTGTAAACAAAGGCATTTTGTGTTGAGTAGACTGCCAAATATGATCCGTTGTTAAATTACCAAATCATTGTTTAGATTTCAGTACTGACACTATATTTGTTTAAGGGCAACTACAGTGTTGAAAAGTTGTATCAGCTCTCTTTACATGTTAAAATGAACAAAGAGCATCAAGTCATTCAATACTTGTTATTTGTTATTATAAATGCATCATCATCTCCCCCGACATCTCTAGAGTTGACAAGACAAATGCTTTTCATTAGTTGTGCAGAAAATTTGCTTGATTTGTTTTTTTTTCATCTTCACTTTTGAAACAAGGGATCAATGCTCCTTATCCTCTTTCAAATGACCAGTTTTACTGAATATTACATGATGCAGATTCACACCTTCTGCACAGCAAATGGATCTCTCTGTTCATGGTCCAGGTATTTCTCCAGGTTGAAGAAGGTGTCAAAGAATATGTGGGCCATCCGGCAGCGCTTTAGATCACCCAGGGTTATCTTACCTGGAGAAAACAGCATACACACAAAAGTTTCAAATAGCAGTATGTGACTGTCCAATAAAGACAAATAGAAGATAAGACAACTATTAAAATGGTGAGCTAGCAGAAGCACTAACCTGGGCTCTCAGGTTTGACCAGATCAAGCATTTGGCAGAGCAAATCCTGGAAGGGCAGAGGTTCAATGCCCATCCTTTCCATCCTTTCACACTGTTCCTCATAGAAATACTCCAGCTCAAACATGGACAGAACACCATCGCCATCTACGTCCATGCACCGGAACCAGTACTCAATACTGGAGAGAAAAACAACAAATATACGCAAGGATACACACAACGCTGTCCAACTGGGATGCTGAATATCTGTTAGACACATGCAGCGGCTACAAAAGCACAAACATCTGCTCAGTCACATGGAACTAATTGACTTAGTGATTACCTGGTAGGATTTTTCTTGTCTTCCTCAGATATGAGGAACCAGACAAACTCAGCGTAGCTCATCCTGCCTTCTCGCTGCACAGCGTTACCCCTGGAAACAAGAGAGACAAAGCCATTAATACAGTGCTGCCATTACAGTGAAGCAATCAGTCGCTCTGTGTTTGTTTATGTGTGTCTTTTCACTTACCGCGTAACGGCCCCTGAGAACAATCTCTCAATAATTCTGTTTGAGGATGCTGTCAGAGGAAAGAATGAGAAACATAAACAAATGTGCTCCTTGTGTCATATGCAAAAACAAATGGATGCTGTTGTGAACCCTTGCATACTGTATAGTCACATGTGTAAGTTCTGAGTCGGTGAGTTAAATTGGATATGACCAAAGTGGTCATATACAGTAAGACAGTTAACAGTGTAATGCCGTTCACATCAGCAAGAAAGTGTTGTGCCAGGAAAAAGAGCTATTGTTTCATGCACCAGCTAGTGGGGGCTCACATGCAGGAAATAAGAAATAATCAAATTAAAATGCCAGATCAAAAGTTTGCCTGATACTGATTCTGGCTGTTGAACCCATATATATCAATTAATCCATAAAGGTTTGAATATTTCAATGCATCCACTATACATTTTTTATTTTAACCTCTAGAGTCCCTGCGTCCTCATATGAGGACCGCACAGCTTGGGTTTCCAAAGCTCAGGACTCTAGAGGTTATACATAATACTTTTTTGCCTGAAGGTCAAGTTTCTTTCGTCATATAACCTCCCTGGATCTGGTATGGAGGCATTTCAGTGGGGGAAAGAAATCCTCAGGTCAAATTGTGCTTACCGTGGTCGTTGTATCGCGCCAGGTCTTTGGGGTCAATGTACAGGTCATGGTCACTGTCCAGCTCCCAAAACTTGCAGTAGATGACGTAGAAGTGCTCGTAGGAGAAGTAGTCAGTGATCTGGTTGATGTCGTCCTCCTCCTCCAGCAAAGCCAGAGTCTGTAGGAAGTTGCTCCTGCGCAGCTCCATCATGGTCATACGACCCGTCCACGAACGATTCACCACGTAGTATATCCGCTGGATCACCTGGGATAAGTGTAGAGTATCCGGATGGTATTAACAAATGACAGCCAGGGAGAAAAAAAGTCAGAATAAATGATTTAATGTTTCTGATAAATAATAACACAACGAGCGCAAGTAAATGGTTGTCAAGGGCACCGAGACTAAACAACGACTGAAACAATTAGTTCTCATATAAAATGTTCAACTCAATTAATCATTTACTGGTAGGTCCTTTTCATTCAAAAAAGCCACATTCACTGGTTCCAGCTTCTCAGTTTTGATACGATACTTTGCTTTGTCTTGGCATTTGACAGTAAACTGATTATCTTTGGACCTTTAGGCTGCTGTTTAGGCAAAGGAAGCAATTTCTACATATCACCTTGCGGTGATGGGATTTTTTGCCATTTCTGATATTCTATAGATTAAACAATTAAATGAGAAAATAATCAACAGATTAATGAATAATAAAAATAATCACTAGTTACAGGCCTAGACTAAACAATAAAGTCAATAACATTGTTGATAAAACAGCTTATGATCCGTTTACCGTTGTTATGTAGCGGGAATGGAATTCAGGCGCATCCTTCAGAAATGTGAGACCAGGGTGTGTATCCACCATGTCCTGATCAGACAAGCACAAATGGGAAGGACCAGAAAAACACAATTTAGATAAGCTAGCAGAAAGCGCATAACACTGCATTAATGCTTGTAATATTTGAGCTGCTAATCTGACTTATCGGTGTTGATAAGATATCTACCTGCAGTAGAGGAATGAAGTCCTCCTGCTCCAGGTAGCTACAGCCAGGTTTGGCAAGCAGATATATAAACTTTGATGCATCATCATGGCAACTGTGCAGCAACCTGCAGGAGAAGGGGAAGGAAAGGGTATATTTATCATCATGAACTGATGGAAGTTGAATTATTACAAATGTCAGATGAATATGAGGTCTGTCTTACTTCCTCCAGGTTGCAATAAAGGAGTGAACAGACACATATCCCGTCCTTTCACCACCTGCTGCATAGAACATGGGAGCCTTCCAGTAAAGTGGACATCCGCATGCCTGAGCAGAAAGACATGTAACACGACCATTACCTTACCATGAAAAACAGCTGGGTACTCTACTCCACAACAGCGTTTGTTTCCTAGAATCATTGATCGCACTGCTTAGCAAGGAGCAGCAGCGAAAAACAGCAGTGTATTAACCAGGACACTGCATTAGGTAATTTCTGGAGAAATGAGTCTAGAAAACACTTATGGAAAAAGCAGCGTAGTTGTTTCAAGATGAAACATGAAAGATACAGATAACACACATGTAATTTGGAATTTTTTCAACCTTTGTTATAAGTATAGGTAGGGACAATATTAAAATTGTTAGTGTTTCTAAAATGCTGACCATTATAATGCCTGTTATTAAACTGCTTACCTTTGCAATTTTGCCCATTTCATATATGTCAGCCTTCTCCTCCTCAAACTCAGTGAAGGCCGCCTCGATGGCGGTGATGACTACATCGTGGTTGGCAGTCAAGCCCAGGGCAGGGAGCCCACGGGGGTAGTAGAACCTGGGAATGTTGATGGCAGGGGGTGGAGGGGAGACTATCACCGGAGCTGGAGGAGGGCTAGGTGAGCGTGGTGTGGGGGTGGGTGTGGCTGTGGATGGGGCAGGAGCTGGTGGAGGTGTGCCTGGTTTCTTATCTGGCTTGGACTGCACCTAAAAAGAGAAAAGGGAGATCATGTATGGAAGTGTTCATGGTGGTAACATTACTCCTTATATTTTTGTTTCTTTTAAAGCATAACTAGTTACACTTTAAAATAAGAATGCATTAACTGGATTTTTCTTTCACATGGTTTGTGAACCAACTCTATGACTTACTCTCTTTCCTTTTTGTCATATGCATTTTAAGTGAATGATGTCATTACTTTCAGAAGTAACTTTAACCCAGAAGTGTAGACAAGACTCAACTTCACTTTAAAAGTATGAAGGACCCGTGTTTTGGGCAGGAACCCCCATATCCCAATCACAACCATTCATACAAAAACAAGAGATTTGTTATTATTAGTCACTAAGTCAGTCAGACAAAGCTGTCAGCAGACTGAGTTTTGGTGAGAAAAGCTTCAGGTGGCATAGGTCTACAGCACTCAAGATTATGTTGGGCTTAAACTGATTGTTCCTAATCTATAGGGAAAAATAAACAGCACCCAGAAGAGCAATGTTGTAATTATGATGGATATATCAAGCCCTTTAGCTTTAAAATGCATTATTCTATGCACACATTCATAAAGGATTCAAACAAGTGATACACAGGTAAAACAAATTAGACAAAGAAAATGTGGCATTCTGGGTAGTTTGCACTAATGTTGCAAGAGAAAATAATATAGTTTGTCTTAGATTCACAGTAATGTTTGAAAATTGTGGTCCTCAATAGTATCATTTAACATATCCAATAATTTGATTTATTTTATTTAGTAATCAGATGGAGAACATTTACATCAACACACTCCATGTTCTAATTCAAACGATTTTACACAACCAGCAACAACAGGGTGAGATGTCATGTCAAGTTTGATAGCAGATGCTGCACTCATTTGCTACAGTTCAAGGGTGTTTGAAAGGTTAGAAATTTCAATTAGTGAAGTAGCTAAAGACCTGTAACAGCATTAATTAACACTGTTTAAGTCAAAACCTGTCCCTGGCACCTGGTGTGTTTGGTGTGTGTCTTCTCGAGGGCCTCCAGACTGTGTGTATTGAACAGGACAGCTGTAGCGGACCTCCCCCTCCCACTCTCCTTCACAGCATTCGTAGCACTCTATTCCTGCACCTCCTGCCCTATTAATACTCTGCTGGTATCTGCCTCTGAATAGTTTTGGCATCCCTGCCATGTCAGTCTATGTGCATGAGAGCTACAAGGCGCATCTACTATATGCGTGTGTATTTAATGTATGAACAACTGTGTTTACTTACATGTGCAGAGGATTTGTGTGAAAAGAGTGAAACAAAGAATGAGCTACACATTTGTAGACAAATAGTCTCAGTGTGTTTTGTGGGCATCTCAACATTTTTATAGTCCAGACTTGCACTTTGTCTTTTGTAGGATCCCGTTCTTGCTACCATTGCTAACTCTAAGAGACGAGGCAGTCCAAGTAACTTCAAAACAGTGCTGATTTATTCAAAGGCTCACAGGTAAAATTAACATTACACGCTCAGATATCTTGCACCTCCATACTGCTCGCAGGCAGATGTAAGATGAAAGACCCTGAACCGAACCAGGCCTATACATTATATCCCCTCGGTTGGGCTAGCCCCATACTACATAAAAACGTCAACCGAGACGTCTCTCTTACCAGCTTTGCAGCTGGTCATAGCAGTAGTCAAAACATGAAGCAAATCAATGTGTGAATGTGTGTGTCTGTTGGTTAAGTGGTGTGTAGCTAAAAACATTCTCACGACCTCTAATACATGTCATGACTCGAACATAGGAACATTATGGCTAACTCTACAGTTCTACACATCATAATAATAATATTAAACACCCTGTCTGCTGACAGTCATCAACTCTTCTCTCTAGTTATCCTTGACCAGATGTACCCTGTAGAAACTTATGAGCAGGCCTAAGCATTTAACAGTCTAACTAGACATCCTATCTCCACTAAACATTTCTAATACATAAAGTATCTATCCAATATCTATCTGACTAAAAATATCTAACACTTTCCTGCCCGTTGCACCGACTGACCTGTTGCTGCTGGAAGGACTTTAGTCTCTTCTTGAAGCGTGAGGGAAGGACAAAGTCACACCCCCTCGCTAGGAAGGCCAACTCCCCCCTCAAGTCAGGGTCCCGGCGTAACGATGTCTCCTTGATCATCATGGTGGGGGCTGAGACTCGCAACCCCCCACCAGACACAACCACCGGTGTGGCTACTGACACAGTGACTATAGATGGACCAGCTTGCACGACAACCAAACAACTGATGAAAAAAGTTCAGTGAGCGGTAGTAATGATTTCCACTTAACAGCTCAGAAATCCAATAACAAAAAAATGGCCAAACACCTCAGGAAAGCAAATAAATATCCAGCATGTGTGCTATTTTCACACAAAAACGGCCTTTGGCAATCACATGCACTCACAAAATCTCTATCTTCCAGACTCCACTTGAATGCACAGGCTCCCAAAGCCAAATGTCCTACACAGCAGTAATCCAGCAGTGTATCTGCATAAATGGAGACCCCTGTGCTACGGTGACGGCTGGAAGGCAGGACCATGTTATCAGCTGTTTTACGGCAAATTGCAGCCCCAAAATGGCGGCTCCTCTCTGGGACAGAAACCCACTGGTGCACTTGGTATAGTCCCACTGGTGCCTGCCGCTCCAAGCAGGGCTCTGACAAACTGCACTAAGAAACATGAGCCATGCCAGGACCTGGCAACGCACACGGCACACCAAGTGTGGGGTTCAGCTATGTTGCATATCTATGTGTAGTGTTGTGGAGGACGTGAGCCCACCTCAGACCCTGGCTTTGACTATAGTTAGTTCGTGGGAAGCTACACCTCAAAATGACTGTGACTGAATTAATTTCACTGTGGACAGGAAACTTAGGCCAGTGCTTCTGTGTGAGTGGGTGGGACAAGTAAGCTGAAATATTTTCATAGAGGTAATTTGGGATCAAGCAATGAATCATCAAGCAAAGCACCTGTTGTTATATCTGTTGACATTCAGAAATCCCACTGGACTAGCTTCCTGACTTAGAGTTGAAGTGTCTTTTGCTGGAACATTAACATTTCACTCTTGATTAAGGCTGCAACTCACAAAATTGTTTCAAAATCAATTAAACTATAAGTTTATAAAATGTCAGAACATCCTAGCCAGCAAATCCTGAAACTAAGGCTAAGAGATCAGGACTGACTGAATTTCAAAACAGTTCCAAATATGTTTTCTGTTTTCTCCTGACTGATCATTGAATCAACTAAATATTTCAGTTCTGCAGACCAATATGAAAAATATTTACAATGATATATACAGGGAAAAGCAGCAAATCAACCAGGAACCCGACATTTAAATACCACAACTGTTGGCAATACATTTCACTATATGATAATCAGCTAAACATTTGAGTCTAACACTGGACTGACACCTGCCAAAAGACCTTAAAGCCATTAGCAGGATTTAGATCTATTTTCTGGTGCTTCTGATAGATCTAATAGCTAAGATAAGACTATGAATTGCCAACAACCTCCATCTTCCAGGAAGCCCCAAGTCTGCCCCCTCTCTGGGCTATGCAAGATCAGTGCAAGGCAACACCAATCTGAAGCCTGACAGTGCACCCAGAAGAGGGGATCCCTCAGGGCCAACAGGCATGACCTATTTTAAACCTGCCCTGGTTAAAGACACTGCACAAAAAAAACTGAAAGATAAACTTAAATCTATATCACATTATTAAATCTGTATTCGTTCAGAGATTACTGGTCAAGCTTTGAAGTCTTCCGTCCACGTGGCCCACAATAAAAGCATGCTCTGATTGGCAACAAGTATCTCCCCGATTTCTCATGTCTTAAATAGTGTATACCAAAGTCTGCCTTCCAATATGTGATTTAGAGCGTTCCTTATTTTAGAAAGAAGAACAGGCTGAAAAACTCTTTAGTTCACATTGTTAAATCAAAATTAGGGTGAGACTATGCAAGATCTGACTCCAGACATCATGATAAGTATGTAAATGGGGGGTTTATTGCTTGCTGTTATTGTTTGTTAATATGTTCATGTGATTGTCTGTTATTGTTTGGTCTTGCGATGGAGCCGTCTTGTGTTGCAAGACAAATTTCAGATTTTATCTGATAATAAAGTGTTATCATATTTTATCGTATCATATATATATTTAAGTAGAAATACATGAATCTTCTTGGATGAAAATGATTCAAGAATGAAGAAAACATGGTCATGAAAATTTCCAGTTTTTTCTGTATGGTAAATGGACTGTATTTTATATAGCGCTTTCTCACAGTGTGTTTCACTGGCCAAAGCGCTTTACAGAAGATCATACACCATTCACCCATTCACACACAGCATTCACACACCGATGACGACAGGCTGCCATGCTCCGGCGCTAGTCAAGCCACCGGGAGCAAATCGGGGGTCAGGGGGACACTTAGGCATGAGACCGGGAGTCGAACCACCAACTTGCTGGTCAGGAGACGACTGCCCTACCTCATGAGCCACAGCCACCCCATCCTGAATATTTTCATGTTGTTTGTCTGTAATTATTTTTATGCTATTGGACACCTTGTTCCTGCTGCCCTTGTGACTCATACAGTTTACTCATGGGAAAGTTCAGGGTGCGTGCATATGTGTAAGTGACTTCCCAGAAAAATAAATAAGTCACCTTGGATTTTCAGGTAACTCCTCTCTCCCTGTATGCCCTACTGAATTCTTTGGAACTGGACTCTGTACTGAAGCCAAGGTCACATTCCGATCCCACTGACAGACACACACACACACACACACACACACACACACACACACACACAGTCTTCTTTCTGGCCACTCCTTACCTCCATGCTGCAGAGGGAAACACTATACAATCATGATCTTGTGTCTAGTGACTGTGATCTTTGCAATACACAGCTACCTTCTGAATCCCCCCCACTCCCTTTCATTTTCTCTCTCTCTCTCTCTCTCTGTCTCTTCATCTCTACTCTCAAGTTAGTTCCCACCACTTCCTCT